GACTAAATTCAAAACAAGTTTCCAGATAGCCCGAGCTTGAGCGAACCCCCACCCAGAGACTGGACCCAAAATCCTAAAGGCTATGTTTATTCTCAGGCGTCTAAGCAAATCCCCCTGTCGAGGACTATCACAAGGTCTAAAAGGCTAAGTCTCGTACTGAAAGCTCGAACCCGTACTCTTATTCGACTCGAAGTCGGGGATCACGATGACCCGAGTTTATCAATCCAATCCGACCTCAGCCCAAGGAACGGTAAAGGGTTCTACGGGGAATCGTGTTGATCGATCAAGATCTAGAAAAAATACTTACACCTGGGCTCGATATTCGTACCAATCGGTGAAGTCATGCAGTTAGATTCTCCACAAACACAGATAAAAAGAAATATAGCATAAATCAGAGACAAGTTGAAGAAACATCTTTGTATTCATAAGCATATGATTACAAAAGCCCATAAAGGGTCCTTACATATAATTACAAAAGCCCACGAGGGGTCCTTACATAGAAACACAGAAGCAAAAAAGCATACGTATAGTAAAAGCCAAGAGCCTAATCTATTCTCGAGGGTGCGTCCTCAGCGACAGTATCTTCGAGCCACCTAATCGGGGGTATCATCTCGGTCTTCCAAAGCGGCATCTTCAAGGGAGAAGATGAAGAAGAGGAAAGTGACAGAAAGGTATGAAAAAGTGGCTGGGTGAAAAATCTGGCTAGAATGGATTTCGCCAACACTACTATTGTGAAGCCACTTCTTGAGATGTTACACCGGTGCGGGATGCAACAGTTAGTAGATAGTACCACCCCACTCCACGGAAAGAAAAAGGAGTAAGGTGCAGCACCAGGTAGTCGGTAGTGGTGAGTAGAAGTTTGTAGTCCTCATATCCTCATATCACCTCGGGTCAACAACAAGAACAAGCCAATGTAATCTCGCTCGATAAGGAAAGCCCTGGAAAAAGGCTATGGCATAACTGATGGGAACATAGCCATGTATCCTTAAGGCCACGGGCCTCAAACATGGGAAATAACAATGGATGCGGATGGAGAGAATAAAGGGGTGAAAGGCTATTGAAGAAAATTTGAATGAAGAATTGGTTCCAGGAGGCTCCCATTTATAGAAAGGGTGGTAGCATAACCCACGACACCATCAATGTCTTTGAAATACGTATCAGCAGTCTTAATCAATGCATTTTTCGGAGCTGGACTGGCGGCGACATAATCGCTTTGAAGAATAAGAATTGGCAGTGCATTGAATGATTCTGGAAAGATGAACCAATGGGATGCCTCAGTTATCACAAAGGCTTGAGTCATAAGTATGACATCATCGCGAGAAGTTCGAAGAGATAGATATCAAAGTCATTTCTTATTGTTCTACTCTAAGAAACGTGGGAACTATCTGTATACGGTAAAATCGGAGGATCCAATTTTCCGTCGTTATGACGCCTCATAAGCACGTCTCGAAGGCCTGAGACTACGGTCGAGTTTCATCCCTCGAGGGCCATCGACGCTCGACCTCGGGGCAGTACAGACCAAAAGTTATGATGAGAAAGTGGGGAGTTCCCAAGGCGCATAAATAGGGCTGACAAAGTCTAGTGGACTAATCCAAAAATGAATCAAGGCATTAACTAGTTGTACCATCTCCATATATTTGTAATAAATGCCTTTGTACTATGTTGGGATTCCCCCTTATATATAAAGGGGATACTTATCATTTTGTAGACACCTGATGCTCAATATTGAATACACAAGAACATTCTCTCTGCTCTCTCAAATTCTCTTGATCTCATTACTTCCATTTATTGCTTATATTCATTGTGTTCTACTTATTGTTCATCATTTATTTCTTATCATTGATCATAAAGAGCCATCATCGTAGCTCTCATAACTGTTGTTCCCCCATCGATAGCTCTAAGCCGACCATCCGACTCGACCACAAGGCCCTATATACGCCGGCTTGAGGCCCCGACCTCCAGCTTTTCGGTTAGATTATCACATCGTCTATAAGCTATAGTCTTGCTCTTTAATATTTTACTTAGCATCCATTGCATAACAACTAGCATAAAAATAGATCACGTATTTTTAGAACCACAAAATCAAATTAAATTGTTATTACCATTTTCATGGTAAATAATAGTTTTTAAGAAATGCAAATGTAATTTTAAAAATGCTATTAAAATATTTGAAAACTTATATGAGCATAAATGATGAATATAGATGTCTAAATCATTGTAAAGTAATATGAGGTATAATTATTGAATATTTATATAATTAAAAATATAAAAATAAATTGATTTGGGGCCTTTAAAAATTATAAACAAATTGTAAAAATATTTTTGCATTTTTGTAAATGCATGTACAATATTTTGAAAGTATGCATGCATATTTTAAAATATATAAGGAAAAAATTGGGTATCAACAATACCCTAGAGAAATGTAAAGGTGAAGGCAATACAAGCCAATGAGTGCAAGCCAATGAAACAGTGATTCCAGTGCAGAAATCAGCTGATCGAGTAGTAGAAATAGCAAATCCGGTAGGTGCATGGACAAATCTGTTCAAAGGAAATAGATCTACAACTAATGGCATGTCACTAACCTACATCCCACCACAAATTGTTAATGGCCAAACTGTGGTGCAATTGGAAGTTGAGGAAGTAGAACCAGAGGAGGAACAATGGAAGTGTGCCCTAATTGCCTATATCATAGGAGAAATACCTAGATACAACGCTATGAGCAAGTATATTAGCCAAAATTGGTTGAATATAGATACCCCAGAACTGTATATACAAGATGAGGGATATTATGTGGTCCGATTCAATTCAATAACTGATATGCATGCTGTTTGTTATGCTGGACTATACTCCATCAGTGATCGTCCTATAATTTTGAAGCCTTGGGCAATGAATTTTGATTTCAGCAAAGCATTTCCTACTGAGACTCCATTATGGGTCAAACTCCCTAATTTGCATATGAATTGCTGGGGTAGAAAATCCTTGAGTAGGATAGCAAGTGTGTTCGGGAATCTTGTGTTTGCAGATGAGTGTACCACAAAACAAACAAGGATATCCTTCACGACAATGTTGGTAGAAATAAATATTAGCCGTCCATTCCCTGATTAAATTATAGTGGTTGATCCAAAAGTAAAGTATTTTCCACAAGCTGTGACATATGACTGGAAGCTTGAATTCTGTGGAGTATGTCAAGTAGTTGGGCATAGATTTCATGAAAAGGAGAAAGGGGATAATCAGCAGGATGCACAATATAAAAGAAAGAGGAGTAATAAAGCAGTCACACAAGAATGGAGATGAAAGGGTCCTGTGCAAACAACTTTAATAGATGAAGGGCAAGTAGAACCAATTAAGGAGGACAAGCAGCAGAGTCAACAACTAATTAAAGAGAAAAGTGTTACTCATGTTGGTAGAGTAGAAGAGAAAACAGAAACGAGTAGAGGGAAAACTATAGCAACAAGCCCAGAGTTCAACCTTCAAAACTTTCCCATACTGTGTTCTGTGCCAACTAAGAATGGATTTGAAGTTATACATAAAGGAAACAGTGAAGGTCAAGGCCTGCCCCTAGATAGAGGGGGGACCAAAACTATCTAATGAATTGAATATTTTGGAATGTTAGAGGAATAAATAAGAGGTATAAACAAAAGGAGTTGAGGAATTATTTGAAAACAAAAAAATAAGACTAGCAGGATTAATAGAAACAAGAACAAAGGATCATAATTCAAGGAAGATTAGCAACAAAATAGTACCAAACTGGGAGATGTATAATAACTATCAAGTTGCAGCAAATGGTAGAATATGGTTGGTCTAGGATCCACAATGGTGTGAAGTTAGAATGATGAGAGCTAAAGCCCAAATCCTACACTATGAAGTCACAAGCAAAATAGGGGACATTAACTGTTGTCTTACTATAATGTATGGCTATAACATTGTGGAACACAGGAGAGCATTCTGGGAGAATTTGAGAGATGTAGCTGTAGGCATAAGCAAACCTTGGCTTGTAATTTGAGATTTTAATGCAGTAATGTACCAAGATGACAAACTATTTGGCAATTCAATTATATATACTGAAGTGAAAAAGTATTCTGAGTGCATGCATGAGTTACTACTAACAGAAATCCAAGGGAGAGGGGACTACTATACCTGGTCAAATAAACAGTTGGAAGCAGACAAAATTTATAGTAGAATAGATAGGGGTTTTGGAAATCATGAGTGGATAATGGCATGAGGGCATCTGGTAATGGAATATGATGATTCTTTCATATCAGATCATGCAACTATGTTATTAACAATGGCTTCTTATAAGAGTAACATCACGATTCCTTTCAAATTTTTCAACATATGGGCTGATCATAAGGAATTCCCGGAGATAGTAGAGGAGACCTGGTAGCAAACACATTCCACAAGCAAGATGATGAACATCTGAAAGAAGTTGAAATGTCTCAGACCAGTACTAAGTATATTGAATAGTGAGGAGTTCAAGTCCATTCATCAGAAGATAGATAAGGAAGGACAGGAACTAAAGATTACTCAAGAGCAAATGCATATAAGGAATAATACAGAACTGCTTGCAAAAGAAAGAGAGTTGATACAAAGTTTGGAGAAGTGGTCAATGGTGGAAGAAAGTGTTTTACAACAAATGTCTAAGGTAAGCTGGATCAAGCTAGGGGATTCCAATAATAAATACTTTTCAGCACTGATCAAAGAGAGGATTCAAAGAAAGCAGATAACAGAACTCACAACTCTCAATAATAAGAAGCTATCTGAACTAAAGGAAATCAGAGAAGAGATAGTAAGTTTCTACAAAGGTTTGATGGATCTGCAGCTCATATGTTACCAGCAGCCAACAAGCAAATTATGAGGAAAGGGCCAATCATCTCTCAGCAGCAAAACATTAGATTATGTGCATATGTGACAGAACAAGAGATTTACGATGGACTATCCTCAATAAGGAATGATAAATCACCTGGTATGGATGGATACAATGCATACTTCTTCAAAAAAGTATGGCTATTGTGAAGGCAGAAATTGTTGAAGCCATTAAGGATTTCTTCAAAACTAGGAAAATGTATAGGGCAATTAACTGTACAGCTATTACTCTGGTTCCAAAAACTACCAAACCAAATATAGTGAAAGAGTATATACCTATTGCATGTTGTATTGTGCTATACAAAATGATTGCTAAAATACTAGCCTTCAGGTTGCAAAAAGTGGTTCCAGATATCATTTGTGAGGCCAAGCAAGGTTTATACCAGGGAGGAAAATAACTGACATATCATACTTGCTCATGAGCTAGTCAAATCTTATACGAGGAAAAACGTATCCCCTAGATTCTTGATAAAAATTGACTTACAAAAAGCATACGATTCTATTGAATGGCCATTCCTGAGGGAGATGCTCACTGAGCTTAGATTCCCAGATCAATTTGTTCTTTGGATAATGGAGTGTGTTCAAATAGTAAACTACACTATGATGATCAATGGTGAGCCAAGTGAACCTTTTAATGCAGCTAGAGGGCTTCGACAAGGAGATCCAATCTCTCCTTTCCTATTTGCAATTGCTATAAAGTATCTAAGTAGATAACTCTATGAACTGAAGGAAAATAGATTATATCAGTTTCACCCAAAGTGTTCAAAACTAGATATTACACATCTTAGTTTTGTATATGATATGTTGTTGTTTACCAAAGGGAACTTATCTTCTATTACTGCTATCTATAAGTGTTTCCGACAGTTCTCTGAAGCTTCAGGATTGCAAGCTAATCTTGGGAAGAGTTGTGTGTATTTTGGTGGAGTTAAGAAGGAACCTCAAGACAACATATTGAGTCATTTGGGGTTTGTGCATAGAAGCTTGCCTTTTAAATACCTTGGAGTACCTTTATCAACAAAGAAGATCACTTTAATGCAATAGCAACTGCTAATAGAGAAGATCACAGTTAGAATTACCTCTTGGACAGTCAAAAAACTATCTTATGCAGGCAAAACTCAGTTAGTCAAGTCTATGCTGTTTGGAATCCAAGCATATTTGGCTCAACTATTTTTTATACTTGCAAAGGTCCTAAAAACTATAGATGCTTACTGCAGGAGTTATGTATAGTCAGGCAGCAACACAATCACCAAGAAAGGTTTGGTGGCATAGGATAGAGTATGCAAGCCTAAGTCAATGGGAGGGCTAAGCATTATCAATATAAAGCTATGGAACCAAGTTGCCCAAATCAAGACTTGTTGGGATATAGCTCATAAACAAGATAAGATATGGATTTGATGGATTCATGCTTACTATGTTAAAGGCAAGCCATTGAGGGATATAGCAATCCTAGCATAAGCAAGCTGGATTACTAGGTAGATATTGGAAGATAAGGATAACTTACACTTGATACCTGCTGCCAAGACTACAAGGAGCATAACAAATTCTATTTACCATCAACTTCTCCCTACAATGAGGCCAGTACTTGGAAATGTCTTATGTCAAGAATGGTGCTAGACCTAAAGCAATCTTCATAATGTGGCTACAATTACAAGGAAGACTAGCTACAATAGATAGATTAGTGAGATGGGGATTAACAATGGACACAACGTGTGCTCCATGCCAGACTCAATTGGAAACAAAGAAGAACCTGTTCGTTGAATGTGATTTTGCTAAGGGTATATGGAGGAAACTGTATCACTGGCTACAATGGAAGCAAACAACATAAACATGGAATTAACACATAGATTGGGCTATTCAAAGAGCCAGAGGGAAGTCACATCAAGCTCAAATTTTCAGAATGGTGTATGCTGAGTGCATATATGTTATATGGATGGAAAGGAATCATAGAATTTTTGAAAAGAACTATAGGAGTTGGGAAACAATTGTTCGTGAAATAGCCTATATCTATCATGTAAGAGCAGTCCCTAGAGTCAAGGCTTTATTACAGAGTTTTGTGTTTTAGCTTCTAGATTTAATTTTCAGTTGAGAACTACTTGTACATAGTAAAGAGTTAAGGATAAGGCAGAATGTATATAGCTAATTGTGTTGATTATCTATGGTTTTGTACAGTTTCAAAGGTGATTAATACAAAAGTTTAGCTACTACAAAAAACCTTCTTCTTTCCAATGGTCGCCGGCTAGATCTTCGCCAATGAGGCTATCTCAAAATCACCATGAAACCACCTTGAGTTAATCCTTCCATCCATTGTAATCTACACTACTATTTCAACATTTCTCCACCAAATACTCAAATCCAAACACTAATGCAATTCCTTCATTTCAGTCAAGAACCTTAAGCGTCGCACAAGCTCCACCATAACTCCTCTCTAGTCATCGACCAATATCTCCTTTTATCGTCTCAAATTCTTTTATTGTGCTTGGAAGTACAACAATGGCGGAAGAAAGAACCATCCATGTGCGAGTGCGGAAATGAATGTTTCCTACATCTTCAATCTTTTGTGGTCTTTTACATAGAGAATATTCGATAATTTTCGGTTTGAAATTCCAGTAGATGAGAATATTGTGAAATTTTTAAGCATGCTCCTTCTTCTCTCTGTTATTCATAGTAGCAGAAATTACATGTCCTTCCACTTTTGCTTCGATTAAAGGGAGAAAGGAAGTGGCTGAAAAAGATTGAAATTTTTTTCCTAGTCGAGATCTAACGGTGGAGTCAAAGGTCCTACTCGATTGGTTATTTTCTTGATTGGTAGTATAAGAAATGGTAGTTTAAGGTGAGGTTTCCGTGTGTTTTCGTTGGTGTGTAATAATGGTGGTTTGAGTTTGAGGTGGTAGGAAAAGAATTGAAGAAATCCATGTAACAATTTGCTTGTATCAAAAGATATAGTAGACACATGTTGCCAACTTATCGAAGTGAATTCTTTGAAAGAATTAGCCGGTTGTTTTCCAGAATATACACATTAAGAAAAAATACACACACGCCTGGAAAGAAAAGAGAGAGACTATGTGCAAGCGCACTTATCAAAAATGTTTGATGAACTGAGTTTTACAACGATATATAGTAACAGCCTCTTCCGCTGCTACTCAAATTTGAGAAACCCAAGGAGAAAGGATTCGCGATGCAAGTCTTTTTTAACCAGTGAGTTTTACATGGTTAGGCCATTAGTTTTCCCGTTTGTTTACCTCGAAAAATGGTGTAACAATTAAGTGTAATTTATGGTTTTAAAGATATATAATTTATTCAAATATCAGTGAATATACAAGTAATAATAAGTTTAAATAAGAAGAATTGATTAACCAAACCAACATTACTATAACAATGAGGACCTCGAGCATTGGCTTTCTTGGGGACCTCGAGGTTAGCTAAGAACAATGAAGTATGAATAATAAAGTAAAAGCAATTAAGCTGAAGAACACTTTTTGAGCATGTTAAACAAGAAAAGCATAGTAGAATATTCTATTGCAGTGAATAATGTGAGATAATCCTTACAAAATGATTGGGGACCCCTTTATATAGGAAGAGAAAACCCTAAAATAGGACATTCCTAAATGTAGTAAGGAATTCTATTGGTACATGTGTACATTAGCCTAGTACGGACTTGTATCATTTCGTACAAATCTTATCCTTTAATTTATTCCCTGACTCACATGTCCTTGAGAAATTTTCGCTCTTTCTTAAGTGCCCTCGAGATTATACTGCCCTCGATATAGGTTGAGCCTAGACATCGATCTGCTTCCTTGAGGTGCGTGTTTTCCAATCGGGTCCGACCTCTACCTCGAGTCGCCCGGACTCAGACTCATAGCCCAATTTAAGGCTTCAAAATCAGACTTCTTGATTTTGACCATATAAAGATAGTTCCCGCATTTCTTATAATGAAATGATATGAAACGATTTGGATTCCCGAAGCCCTTAGTGATGATGTCATCCCGGTTATGCCAGCGTTCGAAGTGACCGTAATGCCTCATCGGCTCACTTCCCCAAAAATATTGAATGCACGCCAACGTTGGTCGGTAACTAATGCCACCGAACCATTGCTGCCCCTCTATAAATATGAGGTGTTTTCTCTAAGTAAAGAACTTTACCCTTTCTTCAGTACTTTCCCATCTTCATCTCTTTCTTCAATTGCTCGCTTCCTGCGTCTCTTTAAGCACCGGAAAACACCAAGCTCTTGCCGGAAACACCACATCCATGTACACCTGCATTCTTTAGTTTACAATCATGGAAAAAACTTCCAAGACGGTCCCCAAAAAGGACAAGGTATCATCTTCCTCTGTTTCTCGGCCGACCACAACGGTGGTGCCGCCAACACTTGAGAAAATCACCCCTGGTGATTGCATCATTAATAAAAACTTTGGTATCGATAATCCTTCCAATGTCGAAGGCCGATGTGAGCACGTATCCTGATACATCAGCCTGATAATAGAGCAACTCACCGATGAAGTAAAGAAGGATTGTCGGTGGGGAGACGAGTTCGAGGTCCAAATCCCGAGGCCTGATGAAAGCATAACTACCTACAAGGAGGGTTTTTTGAGTGTTTATACTTACCTCTTCACACTGGGTCCCCTCGATCTGATAGTGATCGAATTTTGCAAGACGTACGAAGTCAATCTTGGTCAAATCCACCATTCCTTTTGGCGTATCGTGATCATGTTGCGGTACTTTTCTGAAAAGGCCAAGGGTTGGGAGTTCATACTTAGCCACCTGGTTCGGTTGTATCGACCCCAGTTATTTCTAAGGCTCATAAAGCTATAATGCTGAACAGCTAAGTCCTTCTTCGCCAGCACCAACAAACCCAAAGACGGGGGTTGGATGAGCTGGTTCGTTAGAATAAGAACTTCAGACATCATCCTCGAGGAAAAAATGCCGTTCCCAGAGAAATGGAGTTCATATTTCTTGTATACATTCATATTCCTTCATATTCCATAATGCCCTTATCTTTCTTCTAGCAGCCAAATCATGGGCTGCCCTAGCAATACCCGACCTCGAGGATTGGGTTATAAAGTTAGTTGCCACTTCTTCCTACAATGAGCGCAAGTAGCGCGACTTAGCGAGGGGCTGGTGGGAGGCCAAGAACCACGGTAAGTGCCTTTCTATAGGTTCAACACTTTTCATACATTTGGAGGTATTTTTACTTACTCACGTTTGCCAATACAGGCCTTGGAGAAGCGTTCGAAATGAAACCGACCTTGTCTGGGGAAACAACCAAGCCCTCAAATTAGTAGCCTGAGAAGGAAAATAAAAGGAAAATGGTCTCGAAACCCAAAGACCCCCAAGACAAGAAAACCTCTACTCGAAGGCTGCGGAAAAGGATTGCTCAAACGGGCACAAACTCGGCCCATGACTCCCCTGATGGTGAGGAAAATAATGAGGAAGAGTCGGCGCTGGTGACGCGGACTAGGAGGCCAGTCGAGGCCGCTGAGCCTTCCGAACTAGAAAACCCATCTCGTGGTGAGAATGCCCCGAGCGAAGAAACGGGCAAGGCCCCTATGTCCCCGGAGGTTGAGATTGTCCCTCCGTCTTCAACAACCATTCCAAAGGGGCTAGATGTTGAGGCCCCCAAAAGTAATGAGAATGTCTCGAGTGAAGAACTCGGGGCAGCGACAACAGGTCACTCCCTTTCATTGCCAACCTTCTCCGAGGGGGCTATCAATGAATCC